TTCTTCACAACGCTTATGAAACTATAAGATATTTGTGAATAATAATAATATGGTGACCAGATTTCAACTTAGTAGCTCTATGTGGTCCTGTGCGAAGGTAAAGTGTATGTTAGATCTGATAACGTATTATTTTGCACAGGGCGTTTGCACATTGCTTTATAACGTTCGAGTGTATGTGATTACCAGGTCATTGTCTAATTAATTTTTCAAGCAGTAATGCAGGTGCTTTATAAGCTGAAACCGAAACAACGTGATTAGATAAATGACTGTCCTAGATTTCATTATAAATGTGAATATACCTTATTACGTAAACAAATATTACCACCCAGTTTTTCAACCAAAAGGTGTTCAACCAATGAGCAAAGGTAAATTACAATAGATAAATAATTTAATAAAGGATGTAAAAAAATTACTAAGAGCAACAAATAAATGTTATTCTATTCTTTCTGGATAGATCACGTACAGATTTGTTCGAAAGATAATATTTGGTTGTTTTTTAAAAGTGTTTCCCATCCTAGAAAAGTGCCTTAATTCACAATCAATTATGCACAGTTCCAGTGAGTGCAAGCAACGCATTCAAAGGAAGAACAAACTATAATGGCTGCCGCCAAGACTAAGTATCAACTAAAAGAACATAAATGCAGTTCAGGAAGAAACATGGAACAAGAAAAAAGGCGAAAGAAAAGGAAAAACCACAACGAAATACACGTACTACCACTTCAAATGAGACCGAAAAGACTGACAACATGTACAACTGAAGAAATCAATAGGAACAAGTTACAAGTGTATACATGGAGGGATTTCCACATACAAAACCTTCAAATGAGTCTTACACTACCTGAAGTTTGTGCTGATGATGTCGTTAAGAAAAACGATGAAAAATCCGCTACCAAACCATCCAACCCAGAGAACAAAACTTTATTATAATATTATTATATCTTCAGCCTAAATATGTCCTTTAGAAACGTCAAACATCATATTGTTGATGATTACTATGCGACGAGTCGTAATAGTCAACAATGTGGTCTCCACGCAAGATCTTGCAGATTAGGCTTTCGCATCATGACAAATCCACAAATTTAGAATTAGATTTATTATTATGGAAGTACTAATTACTATCTAGACCATAATTCAACAGTTTCTTCCATTATTCTTGATGAATTCCTTTTGTTAGCCATTTTGTTTCGCTTAACTTTCGATTGGTGTTGCTGTCATATAAATCCACCGCTCTTTAGTTGCGATTGCTTGATCTAGTTGATTTAAATTGTTATTTTTTGCTTTAATATACTTCTGAGGTTAGCTAAAGATAAATATTATTCTTAACGAGTAGCTATCCCTTACTATTATTATCTTTTGTCAACCAGTAAACTTACATTTTTAACTATCCAGCAATGAGTGTATTAAAGTGAAGTATCCAATAGGATAGAATAGTAATATCCGTATGCCAAGGACTCTTTTATATTACAACACATGATTGGTCATCTTATTCCTGACATTTTTGTAATTGGTAATATCTTGCACTTATATCCGATTTCAGGAGTGCAAATTGATTGTACGGAACACCTTCTAAAACATATCTTACAGGTAGCTTTGGACGAACCATATATGCAATATTTTGAAATCTATATAAAAATAATGGTTATCTTAAAGGCTTTTGGAAGGCACTATGGCTAAACCAAGTTCATCACAATGGAAGAAACGCTCAAACATCATGCACTTAACTGTGTTGATGCTATTAAATTTCTTCGTATACAACTTCCAAAAATGACAGCTCTCACAATCCATCAACTGAACCCGGAACTGTGAGTACAAAATAATCACACCCTATCGTTATCGTTACTTTGGCCTAAATCCATTATTATTACTGCATTCCTACCTCTACCCATGTCTCGTATTCTCATTATTTTATCCATAATTGCTCATGATATCATTTTATTTGTTCCGCGCCTCTATTACCTTTAATTACCTTTAATTATTGTAGAAAAAACATTTTGACCATCTTCATTCAGGTTATAATTCGTTACTAAGTTATTAAATCTATTGTTATTATTCACACTACGTAATCTGGTATTATAATCTTCCGGTTTTATTATCATGGCTGTTCCTTGTTCGTACGTCTTCACAGAACTAGTATTTTAACCAAAGACATTCATATATCAGATTGTAGGGCCTTGATAATAAATTCGTCGAAAAAATATTCCTTCGCTGAACTTCGTGACTTCAATGATTGGATGGGAATTACATCCAATAGTCCATAGCAAACTTTCCTAAAACGTACAGGGAACGTGCTCCTATATCAGTTACGGAGAACAGTAGTAATCAGTTCACACAGTCGCATCTAAAGTACGGTAAACTAGTATGAAAACCGCAGAAGGAAAGGATTATGTAAAACAGAAATGAACAGTTATTAAATGACTCAACGACATTAGGAAGTCAGTTACAATCCAGAATTTGTAAAAAATGTCGCAATAGTGATTGTGTGCGAACCAAGTTCGGAACGAATATACTGAAGTACGAATAGCAATGTAAGAAACGATACATGCAATCTTAAAACAAGTAAATAGGCGCAATGCGAAACATACACGAAGGGATTTACTTATATTTTGATAGAAGGACATACCAAGATGAATTTTACAAAGTCTTAACTACTAAATTTTTTAGGAAATCAATGTCTAAGTTGGTCGGAAAAATAAGTTTGATGGGAGGAACATATGGATCCTATCATATATACTCACTTTAACCAGAGTGAATATATGCAAATAAATACGAATTTTACCGATCTAAATAGCAGTACAACTGCCAAACATGTTGATTTAAAGGCTTACATTATTTGAACATGTGCAACTTGTGTATATAAAGTGGCACTGTGGTATGACAAATACATAGGCACAGAATTTATCATGAACAGAGCTTAGACAACCTTATATCTACGTCAGTATTATGCACATTATTCTTTTCTACTATAATAATGTACTTAATCGTAACATTTTAGATTTCTCGTGATGTGACTACTTAACTTATAAAATCCCACATGGAAGTCACATCATAGTCTATACTGACTCGTCTTACCGTAATAGTTAACAATCTGACACTTAGCACTTCAGAAGAACACAGTCGGGCTGGGAAGCGAGTAATATATGTTTGATACAAAAAGCAGGATATTAAATAGAGTAGCCACGCCTGCATGGTTGAGCCATACCATATCAATCGAGTCCCTGAGTTTACCAGTTTTTACCTTCCATAAATGTTAAGGGCAAAGTGTAAATCTCAGAAATCATACACTCATTTTCAAAGATTGTGTGTTTAAAAATCAACACTACCACAGACCTTCCGAACTTTTTGCTTTAGCAGATGTAATCAATCTGGTTACCTGTAATTTGTTCCGATGAAACTCACGTAGCCCCGTGTGCGGGCTTGTAGGGGAATTTCTTACCACCTGTAAGCGCATAAACTTGCAAATTTCTTACAATCTTCGTCCCTTTCTCCCAGTCCATGTCGTTCGATGATATTCGCCTACATGGTGTTGTTCATCAAAACCTTGACCTTTAGGTCTCTCTTATAAATAGTTAAGTCCTCGCCTGGGATAGATTAAGATCAGCCATAAATTTAGCCATTATCTTCTCTTCTTTGACCAATAAGAGGGGCATGACACTAGACCAAATCAGCTGTAATCCCATCCTTCTTTATGTAGGATGCTTATTTCAAGCAATGCCATGTTGTATCACCTCATTTACGTATCTATTTAACTGGTCTTTCAAGTCTCCCACATTGTCCGGGAACCCTGTTTATCTACCTTGGTTTCTAGAATGAGGACCAGCCTTGCGATATCCGAAGAATCTAGTCTTTCACCATGACGGGTCATAAAACTTATAAATGAAGATAATTCAACTCCCAGGACAACGCTCAAACGCTTTAAATTACGTTTCATGGTTAGCTTTTTCCTAGAAGGGTTGTTTTGCAAAGGATGAGGTGGTTAACGTGATGCCCAACACTGTTCCCATCTTCATGTTTGGGAGCGGCAGTAAACCTAGAATTCGAGGATTTTTGGCTTCTCACCTACCGATAATATCGTATTATAAAAATGCACTATCACGATGCAGTTTTCGTCCCTTAACAATATTACCTTTTTGGGTAAGACCCTGAAACCAACTTCCAACAACGAAAATTCTGGGTATATAAACAGTGTCAATATACTGGAAAACGGATTAAGGGAACTCTTACAATACATAGGCATTATTATTGTTTTCCGTCATATGCTTCCGAATGTAAAATACTAAAAGACAAGCATTTCGGGCCTTTCAAATTCGTTTCAGAAGATTGCCCTTTATTTTCACTGTTCGAGTAAACGAAAATTTATCTAGCATTTATACAGTACATGAGTTCAATTTTTTTTACCGGAAAATAAAGTCCTCATTCTCGAAAAAAGCAGACTCATTTATTAACCCTTAAGTTATTTTATTCCTTCACCTGAGATTCTGTGACGTGACTGTAAGAAAAGAAAGGTATTAAGAGTTAATATTTACGCGTTTCCGAATCAAGATAATGGTCTCAGTTAATAATGAGATATTCGACCTATTACTGAGTTCCCTTGTCAGATAATCGAGTGTCTTTACAATATCAGGGATACTATTTTAGGAAAGTACTCTATTTACCTCTTCCAACTTCAGACTGAATTTTGTTTAAATCTGCTGATGGAATTCAGATAAACAACCAGAGGGTTGTCCCTCGCAAGGTATGTTAACAGTGTCTCCAGTCGGAGAGGATTCTATTACTCTCGAATTTCGAGTTCTTATACATAACAACGTCGTTTTTAACTTGTTCACACATATAATCATAAACATGCATCGCGCTAATGCAGTTTACATCTGCATCTTATTTGGTGAGTTAACTTGTCGATACGTTTGATTAATTTACTGAACATCGGACTATACTTGTTGGTAGTTAAAGAGAAATTAAGTTTCGAAAAGTTTTTATGAGATTTTTTGTCTTTCAGATTTTACATGGCAGATTCCGATGAAGAATCCGAACGCCGTCGTAGCCGTGACAAATTTCGTCGTGAACGTAGTGATCACGATGGACGTCGTCGTCCTGGTGATAAACGAGAGCCATTTGACGACCGATCAGGTACTGTAGGCGTTGCACCAGCTCGAGAAGATCATCGTTTGTCAAGCGAAGGTCGGAATGACCGTGGACGATCACCTGCCGAACCTCCTTACAAAAGACCTCGTAAAGATAACAGCGATGATTATAAACCAAGTTCATACCAGCGAAAGGACACCAAAAGTTCAAGTGTCTCAGAATACGATGGCATGTACAGGCCTCCAGTCATACCGTTTAAGCGATTTCTTGATCCCTTGGACGACTTGATAACTGAAGAAGAGGCGTGTAGTAAATACAAGGAATACAAAGAAGGATATATGAAGCGTCATACCGAAGAGTTCTTTGATGCACACAAAAATGAGGAATGGTAAGTCAGTGTACAGTGGTTTATGTTTTATCTGTCTTAAACCAAGTGTCGTTGTTACTAGATGACGTCAACAAACTTCCAGTTTATTTTAAATTGAAGTGGCCGTCCATCGTGTCTGTATTACTGTCATAGCAAAGTTATGCTGAGGAAGTGAGCTGGTGAGGCTCATTGCGTTCCGACCCAACAAAGATGGTGGTGATCATTAGCTGCCTTTAATGCAATTTGTTTTCACTATAGCGGTTTCCCCGAAATAAGAAGCTCGGGTATTTCACACACCTGTTACTGCTTTTCAAAACTATCTAAAGTTTCGTACATGAGCGTTTCAAGACAATTCCCTTTCTTAAGGTAGTCAACTCCAGCGGTATTAGTTTCGGACGAATCCAGTTATAAATGTATTAATGCTCCTCATTTTGATGATAGACTTGGTTCTCTAACTAATCAGTGTCATAAACGATATCGAAGTCGAAGTAGTAATTTTGGTGTTCAAAATCATAGGTCGAACTAGTGCAACCGATTGGGGATTTGAAGCTGTTTTGGATGATTCCACTAATATGATATGAAACTTGGTGTACTTGACTGCGTACTTGACACGTTTAAAGCACCTAAAACAATTTTGAGCCTGGGTCGGTAAGTTTTTGTTCATGATGTTTTAGTGGGGGTTTTAGACCTTAGGGTATCCAAAGTACCTAAGTTTTAGCTTGAAACCGAGTACAGGCATTCACATCTGGTAATCAGGTTACATTATATATTTTCTTGAACGAGAAGCTTAGGCCATCTGTTTTCTCAGCAATGGTTGTCTGAATATTTAGTCATCATAGTTTATAGTTATCAAAAACAGTATTTTCTGCTGAATATATTCCCTCATTCAGTTCATATCTAGCAGCCGACTTAAGTGGACACAAAGTTTACCGTTTTAGTTTTAAAATTCCCTGAAACATCTTAATAGTGACGCACATTTATACACTTGTATTGTTGTATAGGCTTCGTCTTCGTTATCATCCTGATTACATGAATGAAAGAAAAGCCGCTCTTAGCGCAGCAGCCAAGCATCGTTTAGATGTTTTCATGGAGCTTTTACAAAAAGGCTTTCTCGAAAATCAGTCTGTTCAGATGGACAATAGTGAGAATCTCATAAAACTCATGGATGCTGTTGTTATCAAACTTGAAGGTGGTTCTGATGAAGACCTAAAGGTACTTGAAGAATCTGATCGTAGTAGATATTCAGACGAAGAATTAGTACATCAGCCTCAGGTAGGTTGCTTTGAACTGCCATGCGCCATATATATTGATGAATTTCATAACATTACTTTATATTTAGGATTTGTTGGCTAGTGTTTCATTTCATAGGGTTGTTGTGACAAAACTCTCCAAATCTCTTTCTACATGGAGAAATTTTAAGTCTGACGGTTCTTTCAGTGGCTAAGTTACATGGGATTCATCATTTCCATGTATTTATTTTCCACACTCATTTTTCGAATTTTTTAGGAGTTAAACTTCATTGGATAATTAGAGAAACTAGTCAATCTTGTAGTTTTCGAACTTTAATCTATGCAGTTTTGTTTCATGTTTCTGTGAATAATTGTTTTAAATTCCCTTTAATTGTCTCTATAGTCTTCTGGACCTATTTGTTGTGAAAATAAAAGTGAAGGAGAGGCTGAATCCGATGATGATTTCGAACATCAGAAGCCGAACGCAGAACTGCCTAGAAAAGTAATGCCAGAACATCTTACTCAAGGTTCTACTGTGGAGTGTCGAACAGCTAACCGACGTGCACGAACCGAGTCAAACAAGTCTGGTAGCTCAGCTCCTTCACAAAGTAGCCAGAGTAGCGATAGTGACAGTGGTTCTTCAAGCGATGACGAAGCTGATGAAAGCGCCAAATCTAAAACTGAAGTTGAGCAGAAGAGTAGTAAGTTTAACTTTGGTTATTTGCTTTCTTAAGCTATCCTCTCAAAAGTCTTGGGAAACTTGATAATAGTACCAATAATGTTTGGATTGAGTCAAATAGACATTAGTAACATTGTCTGGGGCAAATGTTAATTTTTAGATATATCTATGTTTCGGCCTCAAAGAATGGTGTGTTGCTTATTGGTCCATACACAGTCAAATCTGAAAACTATTTTAGATCTGTTAACCGTCTAGTGGTAATAGAGATATATTCATTTATTTATTTTAACACATAGATATTGGTACATGAGGTACCAAATATTTATGCGCCACACAAATCTAATTTAATTTGTGTGAGGGCTGTGATACTGCCCGGGTGCCAAAACCGAAACAGGTGGTTTTCTTAGGGGACCACATCCCGAGCCTTCGACCTGAAGTTCTGATCCACAAGGCAGTGTAGCATCGTGAGGAGATGCAGTCCCATGATAGCCGGTGACCAATAATTGGTTCATACGCCATTTGTTCCTTCAGGATACTGGAGCCCATGTGCACCATTGATTTGGGATCCGGTTAAAGCTCCGGACATTCGCTTTTCGTCCTCTCATTTTCGTAAACAACACCCCCGCCACGAGAAGGCAGTGAGTAGGACTTCCCTGGTAGAGGCTATATAGGCGTGGCCATGTGAGAGCATTTCGAGAGGGTGAGCTGACTCTTCCCATTCTCAGTTGTACCAGGGCATTTGGGGGCCCGGACAGCTCAGTGGTAATGTCTCTGACTGTGAAGCTGGGTGACACGGGATCGAATCCGTCAGGGCGCACCAGTCCCCTGAAGGTTACAGGTACACCTTGTTGACGAGTGCCAAGTAGCAAGTGGCAAATAATGGATAACACAGGCAAGTCCCATTCATTTATTAAAGCCCCCAAATGCCCTGGTATGCCCTTAAATAGAGATATAAATCTTATAAACCATATTAATCAGACTGATTCTTCTATTAGCTTGACTTCATTTAGATACATATATGCAGTTCACCTGTGCGGTTTGATCTTGTTTAAACACGCTTTCATCACTTAACCATTTCGCTTCATTTTGAACAAGCAAGTATTGTCTTTAATGTTTTACTTCTAGTTGTGTAAATATAAAGGGTTTGTTAATATTGTTTGGTATCAGTCAACAACAGACTCAACTAACGTCACTTATTCATTTTACCGCGAACAGCTCAACTAGTTCATTTCGTGTAAAAATGCGTCTATTATACCAAACCTAAATAAAAGTTTAGCATAATGTGGGAAGAATAGTAAATTGTCGCACTAGCCTAGACCATAAAGTGGCTTACAGATTATCAGGGCAAAGTTCAGTGTTACGACAAATTGTGCAAACTGTAGTTATCCCCTAATAAAACCACTTGTTTGTGTTCAGGGACTAGGATAGTTCACACAAATTGAATGGTAACTACTTTGTGTGGCGCATGTAGATTTTGGTGTCACTTTGTACCAATGTTTAAGTGTTTAAATATATAAATAACAAACTGTACACATACAGGGGGTTTGAACTTGCGAATAGATGAGGCTTCTGCAAACCTGAAAATTCATCTCTGACAATTTCTTTACTTTTTAAAGCTGTATTGATGTCAATTCTATGCCTCGTTCCATTTATATATCGTGCTACCGATGAACATACTTTTTTACTTCCCAAGTTTACCGGAGCGGAAATTTACTATTCTTTTCATATTATGCCCAATTGTTATCTCTCATTTTACAATAATCACTTTATTTATTTGGAATCTTAGTTAACTGGTCATCTATTGATTTTCATATAAAGTACTTTGATGAGTATATATGTGACCGAATCGTTCAAAATACATCATATTTTCAGTTCAATTCCATTTTCCTATTTTTATTAAAATTTATAAAAGGGACTAGTTGTTTTAAACCATGATGTCTATCATAGTTAATAAGGATTATTTTATACTTTGTTGGATAAACCTGTATTTGGCAGTCAGTCATAATCCATTTATGGCGTAGCACAAATAACTGTTAACCTAGGTTGCCATACTAAATCTTGTTCTTGGTAATTGAGTTAATCTAGCTGAATTGACATTGGATTTATCAGCATGTCGAATGTTAATATTCTCAAATAAACCTCTATCGTTTGTGCATGTCCATAACAAAACTCTGATGTGTAGTCGTCTTTTCAAGTTGTTAAATGTTATTTTATGATCGTGAAATTGATAGCTTTCTATAATTTACAGATGAACTTGGTAATATTCATGACGTTGCAAGGTCTGAAGTTGACGAAGACGACGACGATGTACCCACTCCTACAACTGCCGAGTCTCCAAGAGGATGTAAAAATGAAGACTCTTCTGTTTCTGTGATCATTGGCTCGGTAAATGATACACCTGTCAAACATCCTATTTTTGGAGATCCTTCCAACGCTCCTCAGTCCAAGTGTGCAAATCCACCAAGATTGTTACATAAAACTGCTTCTATATTCTTCCGAGCGTTACCTCCAACTATAATGGAAAGCGAACTCAAAGAGGTTTGTTCTACTTTATAAATCATATGTTTCTCATAGTTCGGAAAAACGTTAAACTTATTTAGATAAAATTGTGAGTATAGACATATGCTATCCATAGAGTTATCGGGTAAAATTGATTCGCTTGTATAAAAATTTTGTCAGTAAGATGGGTTTTTCATGAAATGAGATTTAATACAATTTAAAAAATCATCTAATAACCTTATCAATTGTCATGGTGTATTTACTATACATTATTTCATTAATTTATTGAATCATTTTTTTCAGTGTCTAACTTTTTCTATTATCATTCATACTGTCACTACCTGTACTACTATGAAATTTGACATGACAAATTCATCTTGCTAATACTAATACGGTATAACAAATTCAACTGATTTACATATGTTTTAGGTTCTACGTTGCATTTGGCTGACTTAACTTGCAAGTGTCTTATATCCTGTCAACTAATCAACTTTCATAATGCAACTGGTTGGTATCAGTCAACCACAGATTGGAAAAACGTCACTTATTCATTTTTATTTATTTATTTATTTTAACACATAAGTGTAGGTACAGGGAGGCACCAAGTACATATGCGCCACACGAATCTCAATTGATTTGTGTGAGGGCTGTGATACTGTCCGGGTGCCAAAACCGAAACAGGTGGTTTTCTTAGGGGGCCACACCCCGAACCTTCGACCTGAACGTCTGACCCACAAGGCAGTGTAGCATCGTAAGGTGATGCAGTCCCATGGTAGCCGGTGACCAACGATTGGTTCATACGCCATTTGTTCCTTCAGGATACTGGAGTCCATGTGCACCATTGGTTTGGGATCCGGTTAAAGCTCCGGACATTCGCTTTTCGTCCTCTCATTTTCGTAAACAACGCCCGTGGTGCAAGAAGGCAGTGAGTAGGACTTCCCTGGTAGAGGCTATATAGGCGTGGCCATGTGAGAGCATTTCGAGAGGGAGAGTGGACTCTCCCCACTCTCGGGCGTACCAGGGCATTTGGGTGCACTTATTTTACCTGCAAGCAGCTCAACTAGTTTATTTCGTGTAAAAATGCGTCTTTTATACCAAACCTAAATAAAAGTTTAGCATAATGTGGGAAGAATAGTAAATTAGATTTTTTATATTTCTAAACGAAGTTACTGAAGTAAAATATTTGGAGAGACTATAATTTATGAACGAATCAATCAGATTTAGGATAACAGGTCTTGGATTTTGGCTCGAAACGCACTCACTCATTTGACCAAATAGCGTCTTGGCATTTTAGCTGATGTTAGCTCGTGATGAAAAACCGTAAATCTGATTTCTAACGGTAACCATCAACTGTGAATCATAATCCTTATTCTTCAAACTGATTTACAACGGTCATTTAGCCCTAGTAAGTAGGTAGACACTCGAGGTCACTTTGGCGTCGCTCAAAGGTCGTCCATAAATTATAGTCTCACCAAATATTCTAGACTCGTTTAACTGCCTACTTAGTTGAGTCTAATGTTCCCAATAACACTAGGCAGTTTGTGGTGGTAATGCTAAATTTCCCGTACACTATTTCAATAGTTTTGATTTACCATTATGCAAGCGTTTTCTGATACTAAGTTGTTATTCTTTCTAAGTTGTATTTTTTTGATTGATATTATTGTCACTTAATCAACACAGCAATATTTCTGTGACTATGTTTGTTATTTTAGCTTTGCGCTTCTCAACCTGGATTCATAAGATTAGCTCTTTGGGAACCTGTTCCTGAACGTCGATTTATGCGACATGCATGGGCCACATATGATCCTTCTGTTAACATCAAAAAGATATGTTGGGCGTTAAATACCAGTAGTTTATTACGCGAAAAGCTTGAACTTCCAAACGGAGAATTAGGTGCTACAGTTAATCGTGATTTAGCCCAGAGAGTTCGTCCTCTTACTCCTATCACACGTCATAAACCAGTTATGCGACAAGATTTACTCTTGGCTGCGCAACTTGTTGCACGTTTAGATGCTAAACATAATCTATGGAGTCCTTTGGAAACTCCTGATAGTACAAATGATTTGAATACAATCGGTAAGCTCAAAATCAATGGTGATTCGGAATTCAAGAATATTTATGATTATACAGCTCTGGAAATGGCTATTAAGAGTAAAAATCCATTACTTAAAAATCTGACAGACTATCTTGTCGATGAAGGTGGAAGTGAAGAAGAAGCACTTATAGGTTCGTTTAACAGTTTAGCAAGATTTATTTGTTGCTTATTAATTGTGTTATGTTGTCCATTCTTATGCAGAATTCAGTTATGAACGAAGGGTTTAGTAATATATCCATAAATCATACCTTTTCACTATTCACTAACGATTTTTATATCTTTTAGATACTTATATGACAATCAATGTACGCATTTATTCATTGTAAAAGCTATTTCCCTTCACTTGGACGATTATTGTAAAACCTATGTATGTATCCTTCATAATCTTTCTAGGAAGTACTGTTTTTGTCACAGTTAAGAAATCTTGACTCATCAATATCGTATTATCAAGCTTTTTCGTTGTAACAGCTTTTCGACATTGTAATTTAAAATGTACTTATCGTAACGATCTTTTGATAAAAACACTTATCTCATATGGCTATGTTTTGTAGAACAATGTGGCTTAGTGGTTAATGGATTCGGTTTTTAACCAGGTCTCAGGTTGAAACATTACTTCATCGCTTACGTTGGTTTGACCAGCAGGTTAGTAGTATCCATCAGTCTTCGCGGATCCTAAGTATAACTCAAAGCTCTGAGTACATATTTGTATGCTTCATCCCGTGAATGAAATCTTCCAATGGTGTCACTAATTAAGGAAATTTTCCGTAGGAAGAGGATATTGCAAATGATTGTTATGCTTTCTACTTCAATAAACGTACTGTGAATTCTATCGAAGCGTCCAACTACACAGCTGAGATTCGGGTGAAGTCAAAGTTCAACAAACAACGATTTGTCTAAAGGACTGTTCTGTTATTAAGGAATATACGTGGATTGGTTAAAAATCTCAACTCATGAAGCCTATGCGGCGGTTAATGCGTCTGTATGCCTGGAAAGAGACTCCTGGTTATTACAACATAAAATAGCGTCATTGGGTCTGTAACTGTCTAAAGTCGACAACCAACAATCAACATAAGGACTGGGAACACAACTATGGGAACTGTTGCTCTTAAAAATATTTAAGGAATGGACAGAAATTATGGATAACGGTTAAAAGGTTGAGAGAATGTAATTTTAATGACAAATGCAGTAAATATTATTAATTAATGTAAATGCTTTAGGATATTACAGGACCAATAAACGTGCGTTACATCATGAGCTCAGAAGTTATTAGGAATAAAACTGTCTACTGAATGTTAACAAGTAGTGTAAGGCAATACGGGGCAATAAGTTGGGTAATAGGAGTATAAAAACAGAGTTTAAACGCACTTAACGTGGACTAATTCATTGTATTTTTACAACTAACTTATGTTAGTGTTTTTATCTAATTCTTAATATTGTTTCAATTGTATTTATCCTATCAATATTTATTATTTTAATTTCTTCAACGTTTGAAATATCCAGCGGAAACTCAAGCCGAGGGTGAAGGATGTGACAATAATAGTAATAATGTAGTTGGACGTGTTCACACTGTAACATTGGAATCCGATCCTAATTTGGCTCGTACTTTGGATCTGTTAATACTCTATTTACGTATTGTCCACTCTATGGATTATTATGCAGGAGCTATCTATCCCATGGAGGATCTCATGCCTCATCGATGTGGAATTCTTCATGCAAGAGGTGACAGAGGAATAAACCCTGTTCCTGGTGCTCGTTCTAGTGGTTTGGCTTTTACTCAAAGAGAAATTAATGATCACCTTCAGGTATGAAAAGAAAGATAAACGACGACATTTTTCATCAGATAATCGAAGCGTGTTTAATTTTTAGTTGTACCGATAAATATTATAACCGGTGGGGAATGGCTAAATATCTAAGTTTCTGATATCCTCACAATTTCTTTTATTTCACGAGTATCTTCAATGCTTAGTCTTTTATATTACCACTGATACTGATATGAATTCTATTCAGGGATTTCTTAACAATTCCAACTATCTGCAGTAATAGGGACTGAGAACTTGAACAGATGTACACATGTGTCAAGTTCTACGTTGCCCCTGATTGACTGCACAGATAAGTGTTTTAGATTACTGTTGATCTTAAATAACATCTACAACTCTTTCTTTTAAAACATAAAGATAAACTCTTTAGTTTTTAATCTTATGTTTCAGCACTGTGCACTTTACTAGGAACCTCACAACCCCATAATACTACTAATACTCACGAGAGATGGGGGGAAAACTAGGTTTGATTAACAGTAGTCCATATTTTAATGACTGCATCGTTACAAAATTAATGGTTTTTGTTGTTTGGTCATTATAAATCATATATCGTTTGTATAGAATACCAATCATAAGAAATTTCAACCAAATCGTTGAGCACAGGATCCAGCTGAGTTCATAACACAAGTTAATGCAATTTTCTAGCATGCTGCTGTGTTTTCACTGGTGCATATATTATTTTATTTATTTTAACACATAGGTATTGGTACAAGGAGGCAGCAAATATATATGCGCCACACGAATCTCAATTGATTTGTGTGAGGGCTGTGATACTGCCCGGGTGCCCAAACCGAAGCAGGTGGTTTTCTTAGGGGACCACACCCCGAACCTTCGACCTGAACGTCTGACCCACAAGGCAGTGTAGCATCGTGAGGAGATGCAGTCCCATGGTAGCCGGTGACCAACGATTGGTTCACACGCTATTTGTTCCTTCAGGATACTGGAGCCCATGTGCACCATTGGTTTGCGATCCGGTTAAAGCTCCGGACATTCACTTTTCGTCCTCTCATTTTCGTAAACAACGCCCGTGGTGCAAGAAGGCAGTGAGTAGGACTTCCCTGGTAGAGGCTATATACGCGTGGCCATGTGAGAGCATTTCGAGAGGGAGAGTGGACTCTCCCCACTCTCGGCCGTACCAGGGCATTTGGGGGCGGTGCATATATAGTGGTATCAATTAGTCAGTCAGTTACCATGTAGGACCAGGCACATATATGTATCAGTTCAAGTTGTCTGAATTCATTAGCACAAGACGAACACCAAATTCATAGAAGTAGCCACTTCAATGGCAGTAATATGTAAAAGAAAGATTTTGTATAAGGATATAATATAGGAACAGTTAATTCGTAGAAAGAAAGTTATAAAGTAATTTTAATCTCACGGTTTAAGGGAAGAAAAGAAGTTTATACACCTACGCCATTGATCGATTCTGAGCCATTTCATCCAGAATCTCCAACCAGTGGTTACGATAGTCACTCGGCTCCCAACCAAGTAGTCTACATCTACCAACATGACTCAGACTAGAATTTAGTGACTTCAAGGTCTGGTGCCAGTCTTGAAGCAACAATTTACGTTTGGATGGAGAGAAAGGCATTCTAAACATCCTGGTATTGTTTCTCAGTGCTGCCAAGATTGCATTTCATCAGTGTCTTCACCAAGCAGGACTATGTCATCTGCGTATTCTAAGTCGATAAGTGGATCTCCTGGAAAGAGATCAATTCCTGGAAATTCAGTTAACGAAAAAATTATTCCGAGCAGTGGTATTAACCAATTGTAATGTCTAAGGTTGTCTGACTACTTCTTTCCTCTAAATTTAAGGGTGTTCTTGTTCCAAGTATAGCGGTGGCTTGGAATTTGGTTAAGGTATTCAATCTTTAATCGATAAGTCTCACGTTTTGAAGTCGTTCCACCTTTTGTAATAAATTTTGAGTCAAATATTTTGTAAAACGACCATTCATGCTGTGGTTTGCGATACTGATATCGACAGATATAAGTAGTATGTGTTATCAATCGAAAGTAAAATGCCTGAAGGCAGAAGGTTAAGAAGGTCGAAGAGACCAAAAAAAGAACAGTGAGTGATTGCTGTGGAAAAGAAGAATCAGTCAAGTATGTGACAATTGATAGATATTTTGCTAATAAAAGAATTTTCTGTATGGTCCACAGATTTTACTGAGAGGTTCTGTAATTTTGTGTTGAAATACATTTGATTGTCCTCACTTGCATTCTCGTTCACTACACTACTACATCAACTCAAGTTGTTATTTCGCTATCATGCAAACTATGTCCTTTTTCTTTTCTAAGTTCTTGATTCAGTAATGGAAAATCGAATCTATAGAATATTGTTCAGTAACCCCCTTACTTTTGTTGTTTTACGTAACTTGGATTTGTTTTTGTGATGATTCGCTTAACCGATCCACACTGTATGTAGTTAAGATTGTCAATTATTACACAAATGACATTTCAATAATAGATTTGTTATCTCTTGTGATTGGTTGATTGTTTTGATGAATTATACATCCATTTATTAGTAAACTGATGTTAACATATTTTTTTTGTATTGTTTTTCTATCTTGATTTGAACATTTTCGTCTTAGAATTTCGCTTTAAAATTGCGTACTCTTATCGAGGTACCAAAAGATTTAACTGAAGAGGAAATGAAAAAGTTAGGTATGCGAGATCCTGAAAAAGCTGCAGAAGAATTCGTCGAAGCTAATATTCAAAAGAGAACTGGCAAGAAAAAACCGTAAGTGTAGTTCTTTTTTTCTAAAGTTAGCAGAAAGGAGTGTTTTGAATGTTTATGGATAAAGACAAATTGAAATGTTGGACTGCTGTTAAACATCATCAAGATTATCCAGCTTAAAGTGTATGCATGGTTAACATTTACTGACTGAAAGACTTGATTGTGCAGTAGTTCACATTTCCGTGTTTCACAATTAAGTTATGATAGAATCTGTTGTAATGGGAGATGGGTAGTAGAGACGCGATCAGTAAACTCTACTGAATATCGTAACTAGATATTGGACTAGACTAAACTGTCATCAGATGATTACTATATAGCTCATTATACTTGTTCACGTGAACCCGAGCACCAACAATCGAGAACCAGATAAGGGTCTGAACAATAGTATCTTGACACAAAGTGCTAGTAGTCAACAGAACTGAACCATAATAAAATCAGCTTGTCATAGAAAATCGTCTCTTATATTTAGGTATGTTTATCTTCGCTCATCACTTAATCATGGCTAACTTTAACCACCGCTAACACATTAGAATCAAATAATAGGATTTGATCACCACTAAAAAACATGCAAAATTTTATATGGAGTTTGTGTAACTACTCATTAACCTGCTATAATTTTTCTCAATACAATAACAAGGGTGAATGGAAGTAGAAATCATAAAAGGAAAAAGGCTAGTATATTTATAATTTTTACATAAGAATATTCTAAAGTCTTCTCCAAGTCTCCGCCAGCTCTGATTGGTTAAGAGGTAGCCCAATTAGCGTACCTCAACATAATTCTGCACGGAAGATGCTTTAATCCAATCTATATCAGTCTAACGCAACATGTTAGTGTAAGTAATACTGACGTAGGTACAATTATTTCGTCAAAGGGCTAGTTGTAACATCAGTAGTGGTAGTATACGCTAAATTATTCGATTTCAACATACAGAATTAAGCTAAGGTTATTTAGGTTGCTGCGTTTCAACGTTACAAGAATATAGATGGAGAATACTGAACAATAATCTGTTAATGTGTTTATGTATGTTCGTGATTAACAAGTTCACTACTCTGAGGTTTGCATTTTGATGTTTGTGACTTAACTCACTCGATCATCGAGATTTAATTCTTCTATATATATGTCACCTTATATTTTCCTTCAGGTTCCTTTCCCGATGATTCTTGTTAATAACTGTTCATAGAAGAGTTTCATATGAGTCAGTACATGACACAATTGTATTGAATAGATAATTACATTCGAAGTATGCGCGTTTTACAGGATGTTTTTTGTTTCATAATTAGTTTAGTAATGAATTAAATTAACTAATCACACATATAACGAACCTATTCATTTTAGATTTAAAGTTGTATGGGTATGCCCATTATCTGACAAGAAATTCCGTGAACCAATTTTTGTTCGTAAACATATTTTCAATAAACATATGGACAAGGTTGAAGCAGCTAAAAAAGACAATGCAATATTTTATAATAATTATTTGAAAGATCCTAGACGTCCATCATTACCAGAAGCTCCTTATCATTTATTAAATCAATATTATCCATCTTTGAGTTCAAATTCAAATAGTAATAATCATACTTATAGAGGTAGAGGTTCTGGACGTGGTAATACTGGTGGAAGTTATCGTGGATATAGGAATAATTCATTACTTTCAACAGCACCAAGTTATGTACGGGGTACTGGAAGTTTCCAGGTATGATTTAGACGTACAACTTATTATTTTCTTTCTTGATACTGTTGATATATTCTGTCAATTTGAACATTTTTGCTGCTTTGATATTTATTTCTGTGGATTCCGAGATAAAAAGGTATCTTATGAGCTACTTGAGAAATTTTATAACATGAAATGTAGTAACTTAAGCTTCTACTATACTGTTTGTCTGCTAACTAATAACGCAAGTTTGCTGTTTAGCAATCCTCTAAGTATTGCTCTACGATTGAAAAAACACTTTAGAAGACATGTGATCATAAGTTTTCCCGAATTACTGGTTGTTTATTGTAGTAAGGTACTACCAGGGGAAAACGGGGAGTCGGTCGATGAAACTATATATAAACCTTTCTGATGGATTAAGAGCCAGTAGAATAGTAATAATTAATGGTTGAAGATGTTAAACGTCACGGCACAATTCAGGTCGTATTCTCACAACTGTATACACTCTGTTGCTTTTAGTTCTTGGGTTGTGTTTCATTACTTATTTGCCATCCTTCGGTCACATTTATCCCATTTGTATTTTATTATTCTTTGTTTATATATTTTTTACCGGTTTTGCTGTAGTTTCCTATCCGTTCATACTCATCATGTTAATGTCACTCCTCTCAATTCACTGATATTTGGAACTATGAATAGACACTGATTCTTACAGGAGCTTGTGTAAATAATGGTTGTTAACTATACTACTACTGGGTACTTTTCTTCTGCCATCTAAACTTGACAAAATTGAATTGAATCGATTGTATATCTTGAGTTTCAATATTGTTTTAATGGTGATGAACTAAAAATCTCACTGTTATCTATTCATTCTGACTGATTACCTTGGTGTTTAAGAAAAGTCATACATCTCGAACTAAATGACTCATGTTAGTACCAGTGTTGTAATAGCTTTTCAAGTTTATACCATTATTAATAACTGTGAATTATCTCATGGCTATTCAAACCTGTCAACATCATGCTCATTGAATAAATTTGTGGTTATCCGCGCCTATTAGTAGCTCAGTTGATAATACTTTGCAATTTAATAGTGAAGGGCATTGAGTCCGAGTATCAATCTGTGAACATTGACACTAGGATGCAGGTATATCCATCCAATGAGTTCTAAATAAGGCGAGAAAACTCTTCCTAAATTCCATTGTGAGTTACAGTTCATTTATTTCATAAATCTTTTTAGACTGTCTTGTAAATTCCATTACTCAACTATTTTTTTCTCTGTCCAGGACTATTATGATGTAGCAGCTCAACAACAACAACATCAAGCTATGGCGGCTGTAGCAGCAGCTGCTGCGGCCGCTTTATATCCAAACGCTGCGACAGCAGCTGATTTGTATGCATTGGCTGCACAGGCAGGTGCACCTCGTACAGGTCTTGGAATGTCTAGGTCGCGTGGTCAACGTGGTTCTTCACCATCTCATGATTTCAATCATCGACCATATAGTAGTAGTAGTACATTGGATAACCGCCGAAGACAGCCTACAAATTATTCGACAAATAGGTAAGCTACAGTTATGACTGTTATGTTTGTATATATTGAACCCCTGATACTTATCAGACGGTAGGTGATGTAAGGATGATAAGACACTAATCAACACTAGACAGTAGATTCCGATAATATATTGTAGATAATTGATTGTATATCATACGTTTTGTGTAGGGGTCTTGCTATCTTTGTATTTTCTACTGGATTTATCGCTTTCCAAATTTATTTTACATATTATACTATTCTTATTTGATCTGTGATTCTGAACAAATCAATGATAGTAGAACTTGTTGCCCATTAAATCTTGTCTAAGCAGTTGTAAAAGTGAACATTGTTTTTAATGGGTTCTTTCCTCATTCTGTACTATAATCAGATTGAAGGTTCTGCGAATCATCTCAAACTGGTAGAGGGCTTACATTGAGGACAATTAAGGCGCTTACATTGAGGACAGTTAAGAAAACAGTCGGTCCTGTTACTGTGGAGCTCTTCATTAGTATACAGTCCACGCCTAGTTGTCCGGGATCTAACCCTAGAATCCTATTAATCTTGACCATATATGTATTCCAAACATCAGTCGTGCATTTTAGGACAATGGAGTGAGTAATCCCAGGTTTAGGGATAGAGTGCTAGGTAAATATGGAAAATCAGTTGATAGTATTGCGGTGACCTCGTCAATTCACGTAGTTGGAGTATGTGCTCGACCGCCTATGTCGACGGGGGATGTCTGGTTTAGGGTTGAGTAGATTGAAAGAAAGCTAGGGGCGGCCAAAGTAAGACGTGGGACCAGTCTTGAAATTGGTAGATAGTTGTACTGAGCCGTGTAAATTAGTGTAAAGTACATGGTTAGTGTCCTCATGATTGTCATAATTAGTGGTTGGAGACTTTATGTGGCATGTCTCAAAATCGTTCTCAATAACACAAGTGCATTTACTCTTTGACTTCTCTTATATAACTTAAGTCCCGAAATCTCCGTGCACTTTTTTTTCTTTCTTTTCCTATACCTAGTCTTTACTACTGCTGTTGACACTTTCTGATTGTACTACTCTGGGGGGTTTGTCTCGACAATTTTGTATCGCTGTGTTAACATGGTATGAGAAATGGAACCTTCACATTCCTATTTCAGGTTCTGTGTTGCACATGACTGACCGACTGTTTAATAATCAGTTTCATATGCTAACATCTCGAAATCTCAAATTAAATTCGCTTTGTCTGTCCCTGTCCAGTACGCGAACTAAGAGTTATAGGTATAATTACATAAAATATCAGCCCTGTTGTGACTATTGATTTGATTTCGTTTGGTGCTTTTTATCCAATATTTATTCAGCTACTAATTACAATCATGATTCCCAAATGCTCTGGTATGACCGAGAGCGGGAAGGGTTCGCCCTCCCTCTCGAAATACTCTCACACGGCCGCGCGTATATAGCCTCTACCAGGGAAGTCCTACTCACTGCCTTCTCGTGGCGGGGGTGTTGTTTACGAAAATGAGAGGACGAAAAGCGAACGTCCGGCGCTATAACCGGATCCCAATTCTATGGTGTACATGGGCTCCAGTACCCTGCGGGAACAAATGGCGTATGAACCAATTATTGGTCACCGGCTACCATGGGACTGCATCACCTTACGATGCTCCACTGCCTTGTGGACTAGACCTTTAGGTCAAAGGCTCGGGGTGTGGCCCCCTAAGAAAACCACCTGCTTCGGTTTGGGCACCCGGGTAGTATCTCAGCCCCCACACTGAAACTATGATGAACTATCTGCTTATGGAAAATATTCGTTTGAAATAACTGGTATTATTATTATTATTATTATTATTATTATTATTATTATTATTATTATTATTATTATTATTGTTATTGTTATTATTATTATTATTATTATTATTGTTATTATTATTATTATTATTATTATTTTTTTATTTATTATTTATTTATTATTATTATTATTATTATTATTATTATTGTTATCATTATTATTATTATTTACTACGTCATTTTTTCACTATCTCCTATTTCTACTTTTTGTATCGGTTTCGACCTATGGTAAAAATACAGCTTTATCTAAACGTTCTCGAGTAACTGCCTGGTTGAAAATTGTATGTTACTACCGAATATGAGTACTGAAGCAGTTTTTCTGAAACCACGTGCACCATTCAAACTGGCTACCTTCAACGTTCGCACACTTATGCAGGTCGGACAACAGATAGGGCTGGCTATGTCTTTGGAAAGTTACAAATCACCTGGCACAGATGACTTACCTCCGGCTCTTTTTAAAGATGGTGGTGACTTTCTGGGTAGCTGCCATCGATGACATTCTGGAAACAGCTCTGATGGATGTAAGTAATGGTGGTGTGGATATGTTGCCTGGAGAAAGACTTCTCGACCTTGAGTATGTGGATGATATTGTCTTACTGTGCGAGAATGCCCAAGCCATGCAATCCGCACTTAATCAGTTGGCAATCAGTGTCCGTAGGTATGGTATGTGCTTCGCATTTTTGAAGTGCAAAGTACTTCTACAAGACTGGCAGGATTCTGATCCTGTACTCACTCTGGATGGTGAGCAAATAGAAGTGGTCGAGAAGTTCGTGTATCTAGGTAGCTGCATAAGTGCTGGTGGTGGCGTGAGTGATGAGATCAATGCACGTATAGTGAAAGCCAGAGCGGCTTATGCCAATCTGGGCCATCTTTGGCGCCTTCGTGATGTTAGTCTGGCTGTAAAAAGGTCGGATCTACAACGCGACGGTGAGAGCAGTTTTGCTCTATGCGTGTGAAACCTGGCCTCTCCGAGTTGAGGTTGTTAGACGACTCTCTGTGTTCGATCACCGTTGTCTCCGAAGGATTGCTGGCATCCAGTGGCAACACCATGTTGGTAATACAGAGGTTCGGCATCGTGTGTCTGGTCACAGAGACGATAATTCCATTGGTGTCACCATCTTGAAACACCGACTTCGGTGGCTTGGAGATGTTCTACGAATGTCGTCCCAGAGAATTCCTCGTCGTGCATTATTTGCCGACCCTGGGGCTGGTTGGAAAAAGCGGAGAGGTGGTCAGTATATGACATGGTGTCGTGGTATGAAAGAAAGCTGCAAAGGGCTGGCTTCTGTTGGTCCTTCACGACTCCCTGGTTGGGGTCCGAGAGACGGTGTAACGCAGTGGCTAGAGACGTTATCAGATATGGCTCAGAATAGAAGCCAATGGCGATCGTGCTGTAACCTTCTTTTACTTTTCTCATAAAAGTGGTTGTATCTTCCTTAACTGAAAGATTTCTTCTGATTGTACCTTTCCGTTTCCCCCACCATTGTTTTCTCTCTTTTTTTTTATAATTCCCCACGTCCATTACTTTTTTTTTCTCTTTTCTCCTTCTCTTCGAATTATCATTGTTTTGTGTGGCGCATATATATTTGGTGCCTCCCTGTACCAATATTTATGTGTTCAAATAAATAAATAAATAAATAAATAAAAACCGACACGATCAGCAGTGATCGTTCTCAAGTTTCTATCCTGTGAGGATTCAGTTTCCTCACCAGGCCACCTTCACTCATTTTGTGGATGGTTTTGCTTTCGAAATGCAACATTATCGTGCATAGACAATTTAGTATAAAACAATGACCAATGTTCATTCAACAGACTTCCAGTGAAAGTAGAACTAGGGTATTATCATAAATGAGTGAGATATGATTGTACTTAGAATAAGAATAGTGCTCTACAAGTTTAGATAGAATCCTTTTAATTCACTTAACCTTTTCTTAACTTTTAGACGTCCAGTTGGTGTTGGTGGCGGTACTACAACCGGTGAACGAACAATGATATCATATAATGATTTAGATGATCCTGGAAATGATGTGCTTTAAAATGTATTAACTAATTAATCTAATCATCTTCATCGACTGTTACAACAACTGCTTTTATTTCTATGTTCTTGTTTTCTGTTTGTTTCTAAAGTTTATCATGTTGACACATTTTATTGAATATCATGTATATCTGAACATTGTGCATTTTCATATTCTTTCTTCCTTATATTAATTACAATAAGAAAAGTTCTATTAAATTATATTACACTTCTCAATTTACATATGTATATATGATGTTACTGTGTGAGAAACTATAATAATCAAGTCGATGATAGTATTATTTATTTAAGCACATCAATATTGGTACAAGAAGGCACCAAATAGATATGAACCACATAAATCATTCGAACTATGTGAGGGCTGGTATACTGCCCGTTTGCCGAAACCGAAGCAGGTCGTTCTCTTAGGAGACCACCCTCGGAGTCTTCGACCTAAGGGTCTGATCCACAAGGCAGTGGAGTGACGTCAGGAGGTGCCGTCTCATAGTAACCGGTGACCAACAAAAGGTTCATACTCTGTTTGCTTTCTTTGTATCCTGGACCCCATGTGATCTATTGGTTTTCCAACTTCTCTAGGTGCATCCGCCGTGTCCACCAATTCGGTTAAAGTTCAGGTCATTCTCATTTCGTCCTCAATTTCGTAAAAAACACCCGTGGTGCGAGAAGGCAGTAAGTAGGACTTCCGTGGTAGTGGTTGTATGCACGTGGCTATGTGAGAGCATCTCGACCGTACCAGAGCATTTGGGGGTAGTACCCTTAGAAGTTGCAAAGTGCTCTGAGAAATGATAGTTATGCTGACAATTCTTAAGCCGGAATATATACAGCTACTGTCGACAAGATCCGCGGTTGTCGTTAATCATCGATTCATCGCTGTTTAATCTTCAATCTGAGTGATTGTAAACTTGAATTGTCGAACATTTCTATCACGTCGACTTTTGCTTGTGATTTTGAACCAACTTAATCCTATGATCACGTAGGACAGTCTAAATGACGAGCACAAGAAATTGGCTGGGGTCTGGCTTCGTTTTCTCAAGAATGGTTGGAAAGTGTGACTTGCATTCCTGAGCAACAAATACACATATTTATGAATGAATGTTTAGTTATTTCTCAATCCGGTTGGGTAACAAAAAGCTTCACTTTGTTGGGTCAGCGAAAAGAACTTAATAATTTGTTTCAGAATAACACACCGTACAACACAACTTGTACAGATAGGAATTAGTGTAAATATACTATTGAACAAACACTTAATATTAGTGAAAGACAAATTTGGGCCGAACAAAAATAGGCATTGCTTCTGGAGTTGACATGTCTGTGAAGTAACGAAAATATAAAGGTATGAGAATAATCTTACTAATTGCATTACTAACCAAACATAAAAGGATGACAATGAACAATTCTATAGACTAACTTCATCCAACCTGTCTGCTGTTTTGTGCTTTGATCAAATGGAATTCACTGGTGTCGTAGACTGTTGAAGGTGATAACTACAATTGGATGTGGCATTTATAGGTTCGTGCAAGATCTCCACATTTTGCCGCATTCATATACAGATATACATGTACAATTCGAAAACATTGTTCATAGATATAGGACTTATCAAAGTGTAAACTAACAATACTGAAATGTAGATGCGCCCGGCTTATGATCTGTAAATATAACGAATCATCCATCAAAATTGATCTTGCCACGTTAAAACAGTATGGTGTCTTGCACGTGTGTCAGGTTCTACGTTGCACATAACTGACATTTTCCATAGTCTTGTGATTCCCGGTAATATGAGACGCTCGTTCCTGTCATTTTTCGATATACTTCTCATATGGGATAAGTAGAAATTCATTAGAATCATCCATCCACAAAGAATTACCACGCAACGATCAACTAACTAATTTCTGATACCCGATACTTATCAAAAGCAGAGTGTAAAGTTTTATCCATTCAGTTGTACAAGATGAAATTGATCTCTTAAAAAATCAGTGGGAACTAGTTAATTCAGTTAGTTTGCTTTCCCAAAAAGTGCTTATGAAATGTCAATGTTGTTGGCCAGTCTACTGCTGTCCTCAAGAATTATCCATCTTTCATTGACATCATGAACTTATTTAAGTTAGATCACTATTAAAAATCTGGAAGCATTTGACGGTCATTTCTTTCTAGTATGGGACCCTTCAGCAACACGTACTCGCTCCGCACGTGGAAATTGAACCAAGGGTCTTCAATCTCATTCTGGTTGGCGTTTTTTAGGAAGATTTTTTTTCCGTCGGATGGGGTTGGCGACCCCATACCCAACCCTCCTTCTTTACCCGGTCTTAGGACCGGAAGTAATTCTAGAAGAGCTACAGGCGGAGTCAATTACATTAAGTGATAATCGAAAATGTAATGGGAAAAATTAGGAAATTTTACTTTTTAAAGACTGATTAAGTACATACTTAATGAATTTAAAACAAATCAAGGAATTCTTCGTTTAAGTTGGATAGATAAACTAAATCTCATATTTACCCCATTGCACAAGCAGGTGGCTATCAGAACTCAGTAGCTAAGTGGATGACTCGATGGTGCTGGGTTCGAGTCCCAGAATGAACATCAACTGTGAGATTCAGGTACATCCAGCTGACGAGTCCCAAATAGGACAAAGCACGCATGCTGGATTCTACTACTAGCTACTATCCATCTTTGTTTATAAATCACACATTGATTTATTCATTTGTCTGTACTCAAAATAACTAAATATTATTCACAATAAATCGAAATCACATAGTGATAACATGAATGAAAGTCATCAAACAATACAGTTTGAAGATGCCACAGGTATTTATAGTTTGACACCTATAATTGAATCATGCCCACCCAGTGAAATTTAAAGTTAGAAACGTGGAGGTTCGAAGATATTTGATAGGTTATCAATATATCGAGAAGTGACTGATCTAAACTGGCTAGCGGTTGCAAGAGAAGTTGAGCATAGGGTTTCCACTCGTGATCTGCTGCGGTTACATGACGGATCGCCTTCATCAAGGTGAGTCCATTAAAACTAATGTGGTCAGTATCCAATGTCGAAGACTTACAGAGCTATTGATTTTGGGGATTTATTTACCGCTACAAGTTAATAAAGTTTACAAGAAAGATAGTGAATCAGGATGGACATCAATATTCACAATGACACTGAACATAACATACAGATGGTCGATAAGTATTCATGTATCATCATGATAGTATCTGGTATACTACTTTCGAGATTATTCGTATTAATCTTTTGATATAACTCAATGTAAGAGTGTGGGTTGTTAAGTAAATTCGATCGTGATTTCGTTTAACCGTCGAAAAATATTTGTTTCACATTTATTCTGCAACATACTTGCTATGTTTGAGGGATTATGACAACATCTAGGACCGGCGAATAGAACAAGAATGAGTAACACAACAACAGGGAAAGCTAAGCTATTCCACTGCTTCCCAACTTTGCTAACTAGAGGGAGAAGACCAGATTCAACTGGCAAAATATATAATATTCCACAAATAGCAAAGAAGAACGGACAACAAACACACAACGCATGCGTATATATTACAATACAGCATTGTCCTTGAAAAACGTAGGAAAACAACGTACTGGAAGAGAAAATCAGCCAATGACATTTAAAGTCCTTCTAGGTGGGAAATACAAACTGAAGGTAAAAATAAGCTCTTTTGAAGTGAAAATGAGACGTTCATTAAGTGATATCTAAGGATCTTGTATTCCCAACAACATGTTATCAAAAAATCCATTACTATTCTACCAACTATTGGTCTCTTCTTATCCTAATGACATTAATTCTTAATATTTCGTCGTGTAATATTTTATTTTATACTCACAAATAACAATTGAGCAATGTGCAAAGGAAGTTAATGTACACTGTGAGTCAGATCAGTGAAAATGTTCGAGATTCGTAATGTAGTTATTTAGTTAAGAACAACAAATATTAATCTAGAGGTTAAGTGTCCGCATACGAGACTATATATCTACTTGTGGGGTCGAGTATGAGCACTTCTGAGTAGTCTCATACTAGGACGAAATGACTGTTCATTCCTTCTAGGTTTTCAATGATGGTCTAGCTTAAATCGACTTATCAATTCAACCATTTGTTGGGATGTTAAAGTGAACCAAGAAATCTTGACCAGACACCGCAAACAACTAAGGCCAAGTGAAGCTGAGGAGAAAGGAGCAATTACGAAACGCATCCCAATTGACTTGTTGTTGGATACTTTTAAACTTCCGCCAATACCTCCAACAGAGACAACTAAGTCATCTACTCAAGTATAACATTCTTCTGGTTCTGGGTGGTTACCCCAGAGATCAAATCGCAAACGAAGACACCGAAGGAAATTTCAAGTAAACCCTCGGTTACGTCGCTATTAACTCTTCCGAAGGGAGGTGTTGGGATATTCACAGAAATATCCCTGAATGTGAAATGGTGTAATTTCCCTAATGGTCAATATTTATTTCACGTGTCAATATTTATTCAATGTGTCATTCCCCTATTGGTCAATATTTATTTCACGTGTCATTTTCCTTTTGGTCAACATTCACGGTAGTCCTAACTGTATAAATATGCATTTGTCTGTAAATTATTATTATTATTATTCTTTTCCTGACCCCATAAACAATTTTCATCTAACGGTTCGTGTTCTGATATTTTGGAGATTGGGGAACAGTATTGGGGTCGTACTGGGATATCTGCAGTTGGTCAATCGGTAGAGTTTAGAGTAGTCACCACACGGTCCACAATACTATTAAAATATTGATAGCTTAAAAAAAAGCTTGATATAAATGAAATGAATGCAGTCATAGTTATATAGAAGCATATACAATCCATTTATATGAGATAGGCAGTACAATAGTGAACATATGTTCTTGTTCTCAGTCTATATTCATTATGCTAACTAAAATATATATTAATCTTCGTTGATTTTCATGTGTTTCCTATGAAGACATTTAGTTTATTATATGTACACCGTTTTAGACAACGTATAAATTAGTTTGTCTATCTATCTACTGCCTAATTAACCAATAGGATGACTAATTTGTATTAAGGTAATCATGATCTTCATAATTCTTATCAATTAATGAAGGTTTAAACCATCAGTTGGAATCCTCAGGACCGAAGAAGAAGTAAGAGACCAAAGAACACATTACACAGAGAAATGGAGACGGACATAAGAAGAATGAATAACAATTGAATAATAGAAATAGAAAGGAAGACCCAAGACAGAGTGGGTTAGAGAATGCTGGTCAGTGGCTAATGCTCCGATAGGAGTAACAGAAGTAAGTAAGTAAATAAGTATGAAAGTGTACAAATATCAATAAGCATCAAGAAATGTCCATTTAAGTGTCAGCAAGAACTCATGTAAAATGAGCAGTACTGTTCAAAGGATTTATAATAATATTAAAAGATTATTTAACTCATTTGGTGTTGTTTACTTGAATCTTCGCATTGTTGTCTAGGACCGCAGTTAATCAATCTCTATTTCTCTTATTGGTATATATGCATCCTAAGCGGACTGTCTCGATACTGCCTTAAGTCACTAGCTTTATAAGCAAAGATGGTGAGTGATTAGTAGTAGAATCCATTTTGACGCTTGTTTCGTCCTATCTGTGACTCGTCAACAGGATGTACTTGCATCTTAGAGAAGGTATAACTATCAGTACTCAGTAGTTAAGTGAATAATACGATGGCGTTTGAAGTGAACGATACTGGATTCGAGTTTCAGAGTGAACATCAACTCTGAAATGCAGATACATCCAGCTGACGAGTCACAAAATAGAACAAAACACGCGTCAAACAGGATTCTACTACTAGTCACTATCCATCTTTGCTTATAATGCTGGTGAATTAAGGGAATGAATGATCTATTACAATCCTTTCAATGGAAAAATTCAAGCAAACAATACAAAATGTCATAGTTTAATTTTCTTTGAAGAAACTGAACATAGAGAATTCGTAATTATATTCAATAAGAAATCATGTCATGCGTTGGTTAGATGCTTTAAAGTTTGATTTAAATAAACAAAAAACATGAAAACAAATTATGTTTTGTAATATATGAGTTTTTACATTAAAACTACATATCTCGGTAAATTGATGGATGAATTGCTGGATGCATTTGAACTATTACAAGTATTCGTTATGTTACAAATCATACCAGTAGTAGTTATATATGTAGTTGAAAACATATTGTATAATAATAATGCAGCCAAAGTATATTCTGTACAAAATATACGTAATCGTAATTTGCCAACCGTTAGTTGACTTGTAAATATTGTTATCTATAAAATAAATTAAGTAAAACAGTTAGATTAAACCTGATAACGAATATCTTTTCTAGTGTTGGTTAAACAATCAAACAATTTCAATTGAATGCATTTTAAAATACGAATCGATTGAATTAATTGGCGTTAAATCATCAGTGAAAATCTGGAAGTAATGGACGGCTTTTTCATTCTAGTATGGGACTAATCAGCAGTGCACATTCAGGATTCTGCTTGCGGGATTCGAACGTATTGTAGTAAGGCAGTTACTAACCGTAGACAGTGGAAGATGGTCCCATGATTTCGCGGACAATAAAACCGTTGAATATCGGCTTACTGGTCTAGGTGTTAAGCGTTCGCTCGCGAGACAGGAGGTTTTGAGTGAGAAGTTTGCAAGGGAAATCGACGATGCGCATTGTTGAGGAACCCCATACTAGGACGAATCGGTCTTCCAATGCTTCAAGAGTTTTAATGTTGGTGTAAAAGCAATCAGTTCACGAACTCAGTCAAATACTTAACAATCTCCAGTATCTCATACTGGAAAATGTTTTATTTTGAGGTGTAATATGGCAAACCAGACTCGATTTTATTTGTGTGAACAACATTTCCAAGTCACATTCACCAGCTATTGTAATAAGGCAACGAAAATCCATCGAACAGATCCTTGAAGAATGTAAATGATAAGATGTTTTGTAAAATACCAAGAGAGTAAATTTTTAGTCAGCCATTGAATATCTGAATTGGTTTGGATCGTACAAATGATATTTATCGACTTAAACATATCTCCAATTCTCATATGTAATGATCGACTTGACTCGCGTTAGTGAATAAGGGAATTAAAATAAGTCAATACAAGAATGAAGTTTTGAATATGTACATTTCGTCCAATAGTTGATCAGATAATGAAGTAAATCAAAATGATATTCAATAAAGAAGGCGAGTGAGTGAACTCACTCAGCGAGCCAAGGCAAAGAGGTGAGCATGGCAAGGCGAAGTGAGTAATTACCAAGGTTCAAAATATGACTCAAGAGGAATGAATAAATCGGTCCGGCCGAAAGCCAGAATAAGTAATGTGGGCTTGATATCGTGCCAGCCACTACTTTAAATAAATGAAATATAGAGAACTTTCACTCACAACAAATAGCGATATATCTGTAAGTGTGTAGAATATGATCACTGCTGACTGAAAATGAATTAAAAATATTAATGAGTTCGTATTTAGCTAACCGATGTTATATATAAATAGAATATTATGAAAACATGACTGGATAAAATGAGGTAAACGATGTTACTGAGATCACGCATACTCAACATCTAGAACACTCAAGTCAAGATGTTAAGCATCCAGGCGTCATACTGAAAGCAATGGACTCGAATCTCAGTTGTAGAGGTCTCGGATAAATATCACTGAAACATCTATTAAAACGAAACGATAGTCTAGTGCTTACAAATGAAATTCTACAATCTCTACAACTTCATACTGAAAATAAACAATATTCCTACCGCTGGTAGTACATTTCTTACATTCTTTCAATTATAATTTTTATATTCTGCCCATCGAATCCAAAATCTTCAATCTCATTCTGGAATTCTGAACCCTTAGACCATTGTGTTGACATCTAACAGTGTTAATGTATAACTCCAATCAGTCTACGGCATTGCGCGATAAGTTACTATTACTCGACACGTATTAGCTCTACTGGTCCTAATAAAGCCCCGGAAAATTCTTCTCAAAGCTAGTCACTGCTGAGCACATGATAACTGTCTGTGAGAGATTGTAAAATTTCAAATTTGATTGATTCGTCCATAAATTATAGTCTGTCGGCTAAGATATCTCGTTACTGATTTGAAAGAAGTGATGATAAACGTTTTTCGGAATCCTAATTATGTAAAGTTCATTTTCTAAATTCCTATAAGACTGAATGATATCATCGGATCCAACATAAAATTATCAGAGGCGTTACCACTGAGCTATTCGGGTCGCAAATGACCTCTTGTTGGACTGAGATGTATCTACAATTGATTGATTACTGGATGGTGATTAATGTCATGTACATCAGGTTCTTCTTAGTGCAGATCGAATATTATCGACAAAGTTGCAATGTGGCCACTAGTCTAGGTGACTTGACATTATGTGCACTATGTTGTGATAAGATGATGGTTGTAGGTAGTCAACATGGAACTCTGGACTCTGGTTTCGTGCTATTTGGCACTCGTCAGTTAGGTGTCTAGCTACTAAAGTGTATCTCACCGCTATGTATTTATTATGAAAACATTATAAACTACTCCTTATTATCTTACAGAGAATACCGCAAAATCAAGTTGACTTAATTTGTAAATGAATTAATTATGCTTATTGACATACCGGGGGTTGAAAAATTGAGATTAAAATACTTGCTCCAGCAATTAAAATAGCAGCAATTATAAACAGCATTACAATAGCCGTTAAATATTCTGCTAATCTTGTTTTGATAGCTGCACCAATAAGTAATGCCGATGTGAATAATGTTAGACTGATTCCAAAAGAATCAAGTTTAGCACCCATATCCACCAGTATATCCAAAATTTCAATAGCGGTAGCTAAGGTTATTGTCTGAAAATATGAAATAGACATTGCGCACCTTTAAACAAAAATGTATCCAGGAGTTTGATTATATAATATTTATCAATTCATAGTTTAGTCGATTTGGGTTTTTCTTGAAACGTCTCGTAAGATAATAAACGTTTATCCTCCAAACCATTACTTCGAGTAGTAATAAACGACTGTTTACACAAGATACTCAATGTCCGTTGACCGGAAACCATCAGCGAAAGCTGACTTCTGTGGGAGGAAACGAAACAGCTTGCAGCTCAGGAGGATATCGAGAAAAGATTTTGGAAGTGGCTAGGAAATACTTAGTGAAAATCATCGGACTGTAACACGAGGCAAGCATTAACTTGACATCCAAAGGAATACAGATAAGAGAAAGGAAAAAAACATACTGCAACGAGAACTGTTAACAGACATGAATAGGATGAATAAGAACTGGTAGGAACTGGAAAGGATTGCTCAGGACGGATTTGGATGGAGTGTGTTAGTAAGCGACCTGTGCTCCTACATTAAGGTCAATCGACATAAGTTGGTTTATTGATTTTTCTGGAAGACTTCCGTAAAACTGTCAACTGAAGAGTTGATGAATAATGCAGCAATTTGCGTAGACAATTTCCAATGCGAACGTTTTTCAGCGTTTAAAATGCTACGAAACTTATAATTCAAACGTCTTCAAACTATCAACTGCAAAATGCATAGTTTCAAGTTATGCAGTAATTTTTTGAATGAGGTCATGAATCAATGAATGTTAGACCACCTTCGAAATTCTGGAAGCATTAGACGTCTCAGGTATGGGTCACCTGAGTAGAACGCATAAATGAGGAGACCCATACTAAGACGAAACGAACTATTCAGATGCTAGAATAAGGTAAATGAGCCTAACGTAATAACCTACTCTAGGAATCTTTCAGAGATTCAAGTATATTGGTTTATGCGCAGAAAAGTTTTAATATTTTTGTGACAGTATTAATTAACAGCGAAACGTGCTTAATGCATTAAACAATCATTTTGCTTATTTATATTAGAATATAACTCATCAATGAATTTCAATATTCTTACATAAATAAACAAAGTAATAACGTTCAATGGAAATGTTTCATTGATTCTCTTCACAAATGCAATCAATAATGCTGTTGCAACTGCAATGATGCTATAAAGTAGAGAAAAAATATATATAGACACAAGGGATAATTTACATACTAATGTACAAATGAATTTAATAAGATTTGAACATCCTAACACAGAGAAAAGTCAATGGTTATGGATGAAAAGACGATAGTCAGATAGGTCATTTAGAAGTGATGTATTTTTAATTGTTTTGAAGAAAATAATGTTGGTTGAATTTAGACATTAACATTGTTAAATGCCGGTTCAGTGGTTCAGGTGTTAAGTGTTCGTGAGTGAGACCGATATGTCCTGAGTTCGAATCTTAAGTGCAGGATCATGGAGGTGTACTGATGAGAAATCTCATAGTGGTACGAAATCGCTGTCTAGTTTTTCCACGTTTTCCATGATGGTCTGGTTTCAACTGACTCATGGATTCTACTATTAAATTAATCTTTTCATAATTCATAATTGTTCATCATAAGTATGTTGAAATATGTTTGGTTATGTAAATCTAAAAAGTACATAGAAAAACAACATATGACCTAATACTTCAGGTTCTTTACTCATCGCGTAATTAACTTTGCTACGATATAATTAATTTAGATAAAGAAGTTTATTTAATACATGTGGCCTACAAGATTGTTGGGGAGATCTAGGATATTCCCTGAAAATGATTCAGAAGGGCTCTTGAAACTCTGGGAAACGTTTTATCTAATCAGGATTGCATAGATGCTTCTCAGAACCATCTAGAATGTGAAGAATCACGTCTAACATTTCTGATTAGATGAATACCCATCCTGCTTCAATGTTTAGTAGAGTTCCGGAAACTTCCAGAAGCCCATGGTTATCTGAAAGTCTATACGTACCGTTGATGTTTCGCACTGACAGTAACCTTGAGTATAGCTTTATTTTTATTGTTTCTCGTCTTTTCTTTCGTGTTCAAGTTGTCATGTAGATTTAGCCTGTGATTTACTAGAAGAGCTTAGGAAACCAATTCAAACGTGCAGTCATGATATTTACCGCAAGTGAAATGAAGTCATTCAAACAATGTCGAATATAAACATAAATTCAATAAATGTTTTATAAATAGAATTAGACGTTTCTAACAGTTTAGTGTCTGACTTAGTCTCATCATTTCAATTAATAGGCTATTGAAAACAGTTCGGTCAGTGGTTAATCTAATCAAATTGTCAGTTGAACTGAGTAATAAGAGGATGTAAATCATAACATTTTTCTGCTTCTTGAATGTTTACGATGTTTGTATTAAAACTATCGAACAGACTACATTGAATGCTCACACTTACCATCATTGTGATGCAGG